TCAGGCTGCCGAGACACAGGGGTTGTTGGAGACTAAAGTAGGCCTCTTCAGAACTTAGCTTTGCGCGCATGCTTATGCAGGCCAGCTACTCCTGCCTGCATAAGCATAGACTCTGACTCCAGCAACCCCGCTGATAAAAAGAAGACCGCTCCTTGCACGCTCTTCTTTGTCTGCAGTGCATGCACTAGGCAAACTGTTCACATGAACGTAACATGTCTTTCTTTTCATGTATGTTTGTGTGACTAGGTAAACTGGTGCTTGCATGCTAGCTTGGTTACCTTGCTTTGCCTAGTGCTGCCGTCTGAGGCTCCAGGCCTCAGCGAAGTTTCACCCACCCGCCCATCCCAAGGTTTCTGCACGCTTGCAGCGCCTGGGAGGCTTGCTCGCATGGCATAGCTCAGGCCCGCTCGGCCCGTAAGAAGTAGCACCCCTTCGGGCCTCTTCAGAACTTAGCTTTGCGCGCATGCTTATGCAGGCCAGCTACTCCTGCCTGCATAAGCATAGACTCTGACTCCAGCAAGCCCGCTGATAAAAAGAAGACCGCTCCTTGCACGCTCTTCTTTGTCTGCAGTGCATGCACTAGGCAAACTGTTCACATGAACATCTTGGCTTGAACCTCGATGCCCCCGAGCTCGGTGAATGGGACACGCTTGGCCCGGTTGGCAACGCCGCGCGTCGCGCATTCGTAACGTTGTAATTAACCTTTTCTTCCGCGACCGCGTGCTGCTGCCTTCCCTGCCCCCTTCCCACCATGTCATGCTTCGCTCACAAGCTGGCCCACACGCAGGCGCCAGGCCCACGGCCATCCCCAGCGATGCCCACACTGCCTTGACACTGCCTTGGCCCCAGAAACCATGCAGATCGCGCTGCGCCGCCGGCTGCGGCTGCCGTTGCCGTTGGCTCCGCGAATGTGCGGGGAACCATCCAATCACGGATGTGGGCAATGCACTGACAACCTCGGCGACCATTCGCTTGCGTGCCCCCGGACTGGGCTGCTCGCTCGGCGCGCTAAAATCGTGGAATGGGCTTGGTGCCGAGTCGCGCGCGAGGCCGTGGGCCCTGAAGGGCACGTCTTGCCCCAACAATGGCTCGCCAACACTCCCGCGCCGGGTGTTGCCGCAGATGACCGGCGGCGACTCGACTTGTGGTCATCTATGGAGCGACACCGATGGGAGGGGCCATCTGCTTCAATGCTCGCCGTTGTCCCGAAATTGCTTGCCCCACGGAGGAGCAGCTACACGGCATGGGCCGTCCTGAATGTGGCAGAACGGCGCAAGCGGGACACGTACCCGGAGCTCGCCCGAGGAGGCGCCCAAACCCTTGGAAGACAATCGTGCAGGTGCAAAAAAGAGGCAGGCGACGCAGCAGGGCGCCAGTCCGACGCTGAAACCGTTTGGGACACATTGAATGCCCACACGGCCCTCGCTTCGCCGCCGCCGACACCGCACGGACGTGTCAACATGGAGCACGACACGGGGCGAGGCTGCGCCAACACACCTTGACGAGACAACCCTAGGCTACTCGGCAGTGGATGAGCTGGCGCAATGCGACGCGCGACCTCTTCGCACCAGTGTGCCAGCCGACAGGCTACCGTGGTTGTACGTGCCTCTGCTCCATGCGGCTGCGGGCTTTGTGTCCGCGGAAGCAGCGCAAACTTGGATCACCCACGCGGATGAGGGCGACCGCTGGGCCGCTCTCACGCCCTCGCCCATACGGAGTGGCGGACCTGGAAGCCCACGAGGCGGGCGGGCCCGCCAGACACCAATCTCGTCCCCTCCTCATAATGTGGTCAAGCCTGGTCCCGGGTCAGGGGATTGTCACCAATCTCATGAGCTGATGGGGCGAGCAAAAAGCCAGCGGCGGTGGCCCTGAGCGCAGGACCTGGCAGCGGCGCAATTTCTCCTGGAGGTCGACTGCGTCCAGTGCCTCCCGCGTTGTTCGGGCATTTTGGCGGCCCTGTGCAGTTGAAGGCATGTCGCATGTCCTCTGCCCCAACCCACGCGCCCGTGCCAATTCGGGCCGTTATGGGGAACTTGTGCAAGTAACACATTTTGTTTATCTGACGGCACCACTGCACATGTGACTGGATACCTGCCAGCTTGAAGCGAGGGCTCAAAATCTCCCCTTTCCAACCCTTAAACTCTGATGATCTCTTTCAACTTTTTCCCCCAACCTATGAGACCTATAGCTACTGCAGTGAACTCTTGCACTGCTGATGTTTTTTTGCCTGAGGCCATCCGAGGCCATCCGAGTCCCTGCAGATTCACACTTGATGAAGCAAAAATCAGAACATCCTTCTGTGATGTTCGCGCCTGGCGCACAGGGATGTTCGCGCGGTATTTGGACTTGTTTTGCAGCTTGTTTAGCCGTTTTTTACAACATGACAAGCTAGAACACGCAAACCAAAGTGAAAATGGTGTAACCGAACCATACCATCAGGCGACCTTCAAGGGCAGATGGAGCGGAATCCAGAGCAGCAAAGTTGTTGCGCAAAGCATGATCCCTTCGAATACGGTAAGCTTGCAAGGAGCGCTTATCAGAGCTTGTCAAGGTGTGGTTACTACAACAACATGGGATGTGACGCTCGCCGTGGCTTTCGTCACTGCGCGCACAAAGCATTAGTTCATTAGGTTTGAAACGCGACCTGCCAATCGAGTTTGCATTTCACACGGCCCGCCGTGTCTGTTGATTGCTATTGGGTATGTTTGGAACTGTCAATAGGAGTGTGTTGGTTTCTTTTGCCAGCCGTGATATGAGTCACCAACAAGTTGTGCTGTCATCATGCGTTTGAAAGCTCTGGGGGCCTGCTGTCGCGGAACTTGCGATGTAATTTTTCTTAAGGGCTTAATTAAGATAGCAGGAAACAGCAACCAAAGCATGGAAGGAAAACACGTTTTTGCAGATTAGCTTGTCACCCCGGCGTTGAGGGTTCCACATTCCAGTGCACATGCATGAGGATTGCCCATGGCTTTGGCAAGGCATGGTCCCTCAGTGGTCTTGAAATGAGCGAGCGCAATCAAACGCAACAGCATGCGACTGGCCAGGTTGCTGTGCGTGGACGGCTCAGATTTGTGGTGTCAGATGCCATGTAGACCCATTCAGGCGGGGGGGGAAATGTGCAAGACTTTTTCAGCATGGCCAGGTGATCCAAACTTGTTGGAGGGTGCGCTTGCGGATGCCGCTGTGGGAAGCGTTGCGGGATTTACGCCCAAGCTTGTGGCCTGCCTGCTGGATGGCCTGACCCTGGCAGGAGCTGTTCTAAGCTCTGAAAGTTGAGGGGCTCCACCCCTGAATTGCAGGATGCCTGCAAGAAGATGTCTTCCGATGCTTCATGGAGGAGCGCTCATCATGCAGCATATCCATGAGCATTGACATTGCGTGAGTATGGCGTGGTGTTAAACGCCATGGCAACGATCTTTCCGTCGGCTTGCATGGGGTGGCAATGCATTTCTCCTCGTGTTGGTTCTCCTTGAATTTTAGAGCCAACTCAGGAATACATCCGTTTGGGTTCAATCGGTGGACGGCAGCGGCAATCCATGATGGCAAGAGTGCTTTTTGCTGTGGGCCAGCAGCATCGATTTTTTGATTTTTTCCGAAGTGACATGCGAACACTGCGGCCAGGTTGTCTTGGAACGAAAGCACTGGCTGGAAAGTCAGAATGCAGCGTGGCAGCCCCTGTTACCATCTCAGTGCTGGCATTTGTTAAGCTGGCGTGTACTGGTTACGGCTGGAGTTGCAAGGGAAACCTGTAGCAGGCTGAATCGTCTCCAGTTTGCCCCCGTAGATGCACCGAAGCTCGCTTGCATTGCTCGCTATGATGATTGGAGAGGTTGTTCTGCCACAGGCTGTAGGACCTTTAGGCCGCGGCCGTACCACCGCGAGCTGCTTTGCTGTGCCGCGGCGCTGTCACTGACGGAAGCCAGAGCACGGCGCAGGAAAGGTGCTCCGGCGCAAGACGTGGGGCGTCACTGGGCTGGGGCAAGTTTTGCCGCGAGGTCCTTATATGGTGGATTTGCATGTGCCAGTTGAGGCCGGGTTCCAATCCCTTGCCTTATTTTTTTGGTATCGGTGCAGGCTCACATCCCCGCGACTCCAGGGGCAAAGAGGGTGATCTCAGCCGCAACCTTTCCATACTTTGCAATGTGGGTGCATCAATCCGCTTAGCTGCTAACCCAAAGCAGCTTTCCGAGGCTTTGGCAGTACATCTCATGGCTGAAGCCGAGTTCTGCCCCTTGACCGGGGAGCTATTGGGCCCCACGCGGCTGAAACGGCGCCAGCTGGACCGTATGGAGCTGCAGAGCCTTGACTTGCCAAAGTGGCCCCAGTCGTGCAGCAATTTTGTCTGCATTTCCCCACGATGAGGCACATCGGACTTCGGCGCAAAGAATGGTTGGCCTTGCCTGACACTGAGGCAAGAAACCAACACAGTCGAATGTCGAATGTTAACAGCATGTCTCTCAAAACAGTACGCCAGGCGCGAGTCACGGCCCTTGAGACATTATTGTCGAACTACGTTCCGCTTCGGCGCCGGCCTGTTGAAGTGTGGATGTCTCTACAGGCAATCTGTGCGTCTGCCTGGTAAAGAGCAGCTGCAACAATTGCGTGGTTCTACACGCGCAGGATCCACAGGCATCCGTGCCACAGATAGGTCCAGCAAGTCACGAGCAACTTGGATCCAAGCAGTTCGTGGGTTGGCGAATTGACTCGCCAGCACCTGAGGCCTGGACGTTCAGCGCTGCAGCTGCCTTTAGCCGACGGCTCTGAGGACGATCCGGATGTTGCAGAAAAGGGTCGGCAAAACTGCGCTTTTTTGTGGAAGTTTTCATGTGTACGCCAAGTGTACCACCAAGACTCATTGTCCAGCTGCAAGTGCTGCAGCCCATCTCAGTTGAGTATCCACAGTGCAGCATGTCGAACTTTGGGGCAAAGCTACATGGCGAGGCAAGCAGGCCATGCTGTGGTGATTCAGTTTTCTTGTCCAGCTCTTGCCAGGCGATGCTCGTGAAGGTTGAACGTGACGTTTTGCGGGCAGCGTTCGGGGCCTAGGTACAGCATTCCGACAAGTGAGACAAGCGTGCAAACAACGTTACGCTTCTATATCTTGATGTCGTGGTGTAGAGGCCCGGCCAAAGCCACCGTGCTGCAGCTGCCGTCGCAGGTCTGCAACACGTTTCGCGCGGAGCTCACATCGGATTCAGAAGCGGCTGGCCATGAAGCTTTGGCTTGTTCCATGCAGAAGCTGCAGGGATCAAATGCGAGTCCAAGCTCAGCAGTTCATCCAAGAACGGGAGGCTCTTCGACGCATGGCCAGACGCATAGCTCCCTTGAGCTCTGCGCGTTCTTTGATTCCTCTGCGTGTTGTGGCAAGGCCGGTACTGGCCTTCATCTCAGCGCTCAGTCTCATTCTGTTCACCCTTTCCGGCAATCTTTTTCGTGTTTTTTATTTGAGTCGGAGCTGACTTGGGCTGCAGGCCCTTCCGATGGCACGGTTGCAGCCATTGAGTGGTGAATGCAGACAGCAGATGGGGCCAGCTGGGCCAGCCTTCACAGAGACCCCTCAAGAATCTGCCTTGACGACTTGCTTCCGAGATGGTTCTGAAAAAGATTTGCTAAACGGCACTGGCTGCTGACGAGTTTGGATTGCTGCTTTGCTTGCGTGGCTACCAGTTTGGCCGAACAACCCAACCTCCAGCATTCTGAGCTACTCACATTGCGCACTGTTGAGCCCAGTTTCAGAAGACCTGCAGCCAACAGTTTGCAAGCTGAAGACGAAGCGCCCTGCAGTGCTTGCTCATGGCGAAAAGATGGCTGGCCTGGCCATGTTTCAGCTTCCTCTTCATGCCTACTCACGCACCTTGGGCTGTTAATTGGCCTGGCCTTGCCTGAGCATGTGGGCTTTTCAACTTTGATCAATCATATCGTCGCAAAGGCCTGGCTGGACTGGCTCTGGGGATCCAAAGAGTTGAGGCAGCCGCTTCGGCTTTGCATCGCCAACAGGTAAAAGCAACTGGTCCAGATTCATGTATTCTTTGCAGGTTCAGCCTTGCTGCTGCACCAGCCCTGGTGAAGAACCAGAAGCTCTTTCCGGACGAGTATCGGTCAGAGATGACTTGGGGCACTTACCGGTACCCTGGCTGGCATCTGCGACTTCCACCTGATGAGTTCTCTTGGCGTCCGCAAGGCCAGGAGTCTACTTCGGCATTAAGGGCCGACATGCTGGATCTTTCTTGCTGGGTCTCGCGTGGGGGTCCCTGGATGGGAAAATTCTGCGACATGAGCCGCCTGGCCGCAGAAAATGTGCAAAGAGCTATGTGGTGCTTCATTCGTTGCGGAATCTGCAAGGTGCGAGTCGGGTGAGCTGCAGGCTTTCAACTGGCATGAGCACGTACCTTAGCTGCACCAGGCCCATTTGAGTCGACAGGTTGTGTGAGCCGACCTGGAAGGATGGCCGCAACTTCGGCCGACAGATCATTGAGGATCAGAAGTTGCAGGCGCAGCTGGACACTACTTTTGTGAAGGCCTGCTTCGCAGAGAGACGATAAGTTGTGAAGCCCACCTTGAGCTCCTCTCAGCATCCCTCGCAACCAGGAAGATGCACGCAAGTGGCATGTGCGTGTGGGCGCTGCATCTTTGCCGCCCTTCAATTCAAGCGACCGTCGTGCCCCTACAAGCATAACTCTCATTACTCCGGCTTCATGTGTCGTTCCTTTTGGAGCCTTACTTCAAGGTTCCAAGTCGAAGGCAATTTCACTTTTCCTCTACTTGGGTGTGGAGGCTTGTAGGATTTCCGGGAACCCGCAAGCCATGTCTTGCTGCTGAGGCAGGCAAGCACGGTGTTGAGCTGAAGTCGTACGACCCAGAGTGGCAAGCTTGCGGGGAGTTCTGGTGCTCGGACTTGTGTTCAGCAGAGCAAATCGCTCGGATAGTTTCTTGAGAACATGTTTGTAGAGTCAGTTACTGGCATGACAGTTGTACGACAAATGCAAGTGTCAGCGTGTGCAGCAAATCGTAAGGCAGGCCTTTTGAAAAATCTTATCGGGCTCGCATTTTCTGGGTGATTGGCACTTTGGCGCTTCAAAGTAACACCCGACAACATTGCAGTCATGCACGTCGTTTGCTGGCAGCTTGCAAAGAACGTGGCTGCCTACCATTCAGCTCAGCCTTCGTGCCATGTGGATGTGGATGTTATGCAGGTGCCGGTCCTTGGTGCTCGCTGGAACCGACCCGAGCCAGGGCAGTTTCGAGGCTAAGTTGTCGTTCAGGCCACGCCACGCCGAAGGCTTTAAGGCTTGCAAGGCTTGGGGGTTGAGCGCGAGTCGACTGCGCCACTGCCTCTCAGGGCTTCCGGTTCCCGCAAGCCCCGCTGGCACCGCGCAGCTGTTGGCGCCCCAGCTTGTCTGAGAAAAGGCGTGGTAGCAGCTTTTGCCTCCCAGCCCTGTGGGCAAGGCCCGGGTCGCCCATGAGCTGGATGCCAGCACAGAGGACCCGGTTCTCACAGGCCTTGCTTTGCTTGCTTTGGGTTTGCAAAGCGTACATGCTTGTTGGCCAAGCACGAGGCGTATGGGATGCAAGAAAACACATCCACCAACTCTCCAAGAAGGTTGCTGTCAATTCTAGCAAGACGTCAAAGACCGTCCTGGTCCTGGCGGAAGCTTTGCTGAGCAGGCCGCCGTGTGCCCCGAAGCAGTTCCTGTGCTGTGCCAGTTCAGGACAAAGACGCGAGTGATTCGAATTTCCAAGCATTTCAACTTGCCGGCTATCCATCAGCTGGACTTCGCATAGATGCGCATGTGGCTTTTGGGAGGCCTGCTGCGATGCATTCTTTGTGCAAGATGTGCAAGTTGGGGTGTCCCTGTCGGGCAGTTCGTTTGGGTCACGCAACGAAAGCTTAGTGCTGAACGATTTGGCGGAGAAAGGGTCGCAGTCCTTCAAGCAGTTCCTTGGAGGCACTACAAATCTGGCAAACGTGGCTCATGCAGTGCCCGCCTCGCAACTTGCTGAGGCGCCTGTCCGAAGTTTTCGGGCCTCAGGCGAACTCGCCCCTTGTATGAAGTGACATGAAGGGGGACAATGCAGGTTTCCTTTCCAATGCAAGGAGCGAGGGTGTGGCCATGGCAGTCTCAGGGCTGCTTGGCGGACTGGGCTCCTTCCGCGGTCGGCTCTTAGTGACCCGGCTTCTTTCTTGGCGACATGTTCGTTCAGACGTCGTACGTCATCGTACGTCGTAGATTCTTTTTTGGGCGAGGCCCGGCGCCGGGAGGGCACCTCTGAGCGCTTGGAGCGGCTTCCCGCCGCCGAGCTCTTCACCGCGGTGCCGTCGCGTGCCTTCTTCCCTCGAGGCAAGCGGCAAGCGGCTTCCATCATCTCTGGCTATTGCCTACGGTGAATCTTTATAGTGAGGTTTCCTGTGGGACGAGGGTTTCCATGGCTTGCTGCTGTCACGCTGGCACCCGCGGATGTTCCTGGAGCCATTTTCTTGCATGGCAGTGATGTTTCTTGAGAACCGCAGTGGCATGCAGTGGTGGTGTCCATGGTGGTCCTCCGAAGGAGATTCTGGCTCATTGGCTTGAACTGCAGCAAGAATCCGGATGGATCCCTCGAGAGGTGGGCTCATGGTTGCCAACTTGCTTTGTTGATCAGAAGATCCTGAGGTGCCTCTGGGAGCTGAGCAAGAAAGGAGAGTACCCAAACAGTTCCTGCCGCAGGACAGAAGGTGGAGATAGGTGGAGTGTTTTGGAGTTGCTGAAGGATTCTTTGCAACTTTCAAGGACCCAGAGGTGGCCAATCCACCCAGCTTCCTGCTGCCTTTGGCACAGCTGGTCAACCAAGTGCTCAGCAAGACTGAGCCACTGGCTGAAGAGCTGAGGCAGCTTTCAGGGCATCTCTTTTCTCATTTGCCTTTCCTATTCCCCCTTGTCTTGCATGTTGGGCCAGGGGACTGGTGCTTTCCTTCGGAGCTGCAGCGCTGCCTCGTCTGGGCGCCTGGTTCGCGTTTCTGGAGCGCAGCTCCTCGACTTCGTTAGATTTGAGCATCCGAACATCTGCAAGATCACTTTGAAGGTTCGTGTGGATTGTAGAATCAGGAGGCAGTCTGTTCTCCGCAGGTCAAAAGTCGGCGCATCCATCAGGCTGCTACCGCTGGCGGGGTCGAACAGCTGCACATTGCCTGGCCAGTGGCCTAGATGACTACCCACGTGGCCTTTTGGTGAATGAAGATGAGTGCCACCTGGACCTCCACAGCTGGATGACGCTCTTCGCCAGGACGGGCAGAGCAAAGGAACGTCGGGTGATGGAGCTTTCCCCTGGCAATTACAGGACGCTCGCCAAGCTCTGCGAGCAGAAGCTTGGCGACGTGTTCAGCTGCAGCTTCACTGCCTCCCTTTAACATGCTGTGATGTGACGTTACGTGTGAGTTTTGATCTCTTCCAAGGCTTCGATCGCGGAACGTTCTGAGTAAGGAGGAGCGGCTGCAAGCCAAAACCTGCTTGTGTTGTCTGAAGTCTGAAGGTTCAGGCCCCGAACGGGACACATGCAGGGCACACGCGTGGCACAGGGCACATGCACAGGAGAAGGCACTACACTTGGTTTGCAATGGTTTGCAAGAGCTTTAGTGGCGGGGAGCACCCTGAGGAGGACGAAACATTCTGCACTCGGCCGGCCTGGACACAGCGCGCCCAGCGCCTCAATGAAAGCCTCTTCCAAGTCTTTGAAGACCCGCAGGCGCCATTTGCGGCGTTCAACCGGAAGTCTTCAGATTGTGATGCTACAGCAGATTGCTGCTGCAGCAGCCATGCCCAGGCTTCCGGCACCGCTCCCTTGGCTGACTTTTTGAGCTCTCAGCTGCTTGAGAAGGGCCGAGTCCGGGTGTTGCCTCCGTGGCGCTCCGACGGGCGCTGCGGGCCACAGTTTCCGGTGGCCAAAAAACCCGGAGAGTGTGATCCATATGGTGGTGGCCCGATGCAAGTTTCAGGCAAACTGCAAACTGAGCTGAGTCAGGCTTTGTTGGAGAAAGCTGCTCCTCTGAGTTTTTCTGAGGTGCGCCATGCTGTTCGCCTTCCGGGTGGTGTGGTGGATCGCCGGACTTCTGCGATTGCCCCGGTTGCAGACGATCCAAGAAACTGGAAGAGCGAAGCCTTCAGCAAGAGATGGTGCCCGTCTCAGTTTCAATGTGACCAGTGCAAGCTGCGTACTCAGTTTTGGAGGCGAAGGTCCACTCACCTCACCTGGGGTACGTGTCGCTCTTTCCGTTGCTTCTCGGGTTGCAGCCGTGCGATCATCCACGAGCCCAGTCTCTCCTGCGAGCGCTGCAGCCAAAGGCTTCGCCAGAGAATCGTAATGATGTGCTTGAGGATGATCCAGTTTGCAGGGAGAACTCTGGAGCCCCTACGGCGTCATGTCGCTCTCCTCCAAAGACAAGCTATTCCGGCAAGGTGAGGATTATTGGCGCCCTTGCCTTGGGCAGCCCAGGCCCTAGCGAGTTCAGAGGAATGCGCGCTGAGGTGGCAAGATTTGGGCGAACCTGAACTACTTGACGCTCTCAGCATTGCAAAGATGCCCCTTACCAGAGGCAGGATCTCGTTGCGGATAGAACTCAACGATTCATCAGCAATCATCCCCGTTCGAGAGGCCAAAGTAGCCTTTGACTCGCTGAAGAAAGGCTTTGCTGAAGCCGTGCTGGGCGCACTGCAACGACGCCCGGCTGAGGAGAGGGGGCCTCTTGGTGGCCTGGCGTAATTCTGTGTCAGGACAGCAGTACCTGATGGAAAACTTTGACCCAAAGACCGGTGAGGGCAGAGGCGCTGCGCCCTTTGCAGGCGAGATCTACGTCGGCAAAATCATCCTGCTGTCTTGCTGAACGTGAGCTACTTGTGCAGGTTGGACAACCCTGGTGGCACTTGTGCTGGCAGACATGCCGCTGGAGCCCAGCTTTGATTTGCTTGCTTCGGATCAGAAACTGGACCTATGAAGCGCGAGCAAAAGATGCAGGGTGGACTGGAACACGAGTTTTCACAAAAATGTGCATACTTGGAACGTTGCTCCGTCAGCTTTTTTGCATGGTACATGATGTGATTCAGCAAAGCAGCAGCACAAATCACGAAATCTTCGACATAACACGCCCTACGTTCTAGATTCTACTATATTCTACGCAACATCAGGTCCCTTCATCGGCCCACCGATACAGGGAATCTTCCCGTTAAACAGGAAAGATATTGTGTTGTGGTTTGAGACCAAAAATCCTTTGATGTGTTTGGAGAACACGCGCACTGCTGGAGGGAACGGCTGCGGAGGTTCTGGCATTACGTTAACCTAGTCTATGTCATGCCCTGTTCATGACAAGCCATGGTCTGCTTCCCTTGCAATGCAAGGCGTGCATCGAATCAGATTGCTGCCATTATCGATGTCTGCATGCAGCCTGATTTTCCATAAGTAGTGTTATCACACTGGTTTTGATATGCGCAAGTTCGCTGCAGCATATACCAGTTGACGGAAGTTGTTCTACCGTACTGAGGTGCTGACACTAAGTCTGGAAGTCAGTACCGGAGTGAGTAAACTTGCACTTAGACAGGTCGACTAAGAGAATCGCGTGAAGCCTGGTTCTCCGCCTTAGCGCTCCCGCCTATTTTGGGAGGATTTTTTTTGCGCCAATCCCCTTTTGTCATTTGTAAGCGTCGGTCCCTATCTTTGTTCCCTAGACTCTGAGGCATGGCCTGGCAAGTAAAGCTGCTCTCAGCGTTTCCAGGAGAATGCAAATTTGGTAGATTCAAAGACTGGAGGTGCAAGCTGTGCCTCGTCCGCGACCGAGTGCTGCTCCAGAGATTGCAGCGGCTCCTCCTTGGCACATTTGCGGAATCGAGCGATGCATGCACAAGCTCGGATTAGGTTCGCATCATATATGTACTGGTGAGTCTCGGTGCCAGGCTTCAGCACAGGACCTCGATGTGGGCAAGCAGGCGCCGCACTCAGCCACATGCTCCGAGACGCATTCTGCCAGATTCTAGCCTGAGGCAAGGCCAACAGTGCCAGATTTCGATGCATGGAGCGAGGCTGGCCTTCAAGAAGAAGGGATATCACCCTCGTGGTCTGGTTGTCTCTCTTTTTCTTCAACGAAATCACGAGAGACTGAGTCCAAGATCTCAAAAGACTTAGATTTAAGCTCCAGTCTGGATCTTCAGGGCAACATGCGGTTGAAAGTCATCACGTGCATTGCCAGGAGGAGGAGGAGACTTTGGAACACCAGGGAGCCGAAAGCCCTGCTGCAGAGGCAGATGCTGCGAGAAGTCGGGTAGCACGCGGACTACGCTCGTCTTGCGCTGCGTTTCTCTTGGATGGGTAGGTCGGACCCCCTCCAATTCGGGAGATGCCTGTACCAGTGCAAGAAAAGGGATGACAAAGAGTTTAGAGTCTAGAAGCATGAGAAGAACCACCCAAGATAGGACAAGACAAGGCTCATCAGCATTCTTGAGTTGACATGGAAAATTGTGTTCTGTTTCGAGTTGCTTGGAGGCGAAACCTCAAACAACAGCGTGAGAAAAAAGGCCCTGAAGATGAGACAAAATGCACAAAGGGGGTTCAGCAGTGTCTAGGTGCCAAATGACCAGTGGCTGCGGTAGTACTCCGGCAAGAAGATTGTTGCAATGAAAGTCTCAATGGAAGTTGCAGGCTGGCCAAGATGGCTCGAACATCGGAAAGCAAGAGGTTCGCATGCATCCCCGGCCCACTGATTGAAACATGCATCTCTGGGCTGTCTGCCATGGAGCCAACTTTCGACTTGGTGTCAAAGCAGCCATCGAACTTATATTTCAGAACTTTGGCCGTCAGGAAGAGCCGTGCGCAGCCGGAGTGGGCATGGAGGTTTTAAACGCACTCAGATTCGTTACCTAGTGGTAGACTTATGCGTCCAGGCTCCTGCGCAGCGATTAATCCCTCCACGGAGGCCTCAGCCTCCAAAGGACCGCCGTGGAAAAAATCTTCGTCAGATTATGTGAAGCCTTTTAAGCTTCGACCAGGCCCCACCGCCGGCGCACCTCCTGGCCAAGGCTCTGAAGTTCAGCCTGTGGATGCCTTGGGGCTATTCTGGCAGATCTGCCCCTGGCAGGAATTGGAAGCAGGGAAGTTTTTACTTGCCCAGAATTGTAAAGAGATCTATCATTTCTACAGCTGCATCATTTGCATAAGGCATGCCTGAAACACATTCTTGGCGCTGGAGTTGGCTAAAGCCCATCTTTTGCGTGGCCAGGCAGCACGGCCCAGATCTCAGAGATGTGTTTAGCCAGGTGAATTGAGCATTGAAAGTGAGACTGATCAGATCACGGGGTGCAGCAGGAAGGAGTCGAGCGCTCGTGAGGCCCTTGCCGCCACCGCCAAGAATGCCTCCGCCAAAAATGCCTCCGCCCCCGTCGACACCACCGCCGAACTATCAAGGCATGCCAGGTGGGGTAAGCAATTGGTTACGGTTTCGACTGGCAGGGGCTAGTCCAGCCAGTGACTTGTGCCAGTCCTCTTCGTGCACATGCCGGCACAATGGTCCACCTTCATCGCCCTCCGTCGTGGCGCCACGCGGCCGCTTTGGACACGGAGCCAGCTGTTTGTGCCCAGCATGTGCCTGCTGTTGGATTCCTTTCGCTGTTTGATTCCTTTCCAGATGCCCCAAACTCCCCGAAACTCCCAGGCAGGGAAGCCGCTGCGGCTCCAGGCCACGCTGATGCAGGGCGATTCCGCGACAGCCGAGGTCCAGAAAAAACCGTGCTTGGACTGCTCTTTGCGCGCTTTGCGCGCTTTGCGCGCTTTGCGTGCTTTGCAGAAGGCCTTCTTCCAAACTGCAGGCCGTGAGCTGAACATTCGCCGGGATCCAAGTTAGACAAGCACATGCAAACATGTAAGGCAAACTGCAGAGTGTGACAGGTCATCGCGTGCCCTTTCCGGAGCTGGCCAAACGAGTTGATGGCTCGGGAATTCGGCTTCAAGACTCATTTTAGTATTCTGTTCGTGTGTAAAGCCCATCAGGCGCCAAGGGCGGTGCTGACTTTGGTCCCTCTGACTTCCGCCAGTTCCTTTTAGAGATGTGCCATGGCTGGCTAAATGCAGACCAGCCGGATTAAGGATCAGGATCTTCGAGATGAATATGACGAATACTTCAAAACCAAGGAATGTGGACCTTCCGTTTTGATTTTCTTTTTGAACATACTTGTGCAATTGTTTGCGTGCAGTTGGGCACTTGGCATGTGTTGCCGAGCGAGAGGAGCGCATGGGGGTAGCTGCACACGTGGACGATGCCCTGTATGTCCTGCCGCCGTCCTGCGCCCAAGCGCCTTGGCTGATTTGTGAGTGCAGCAGTTGCACCTTTCAACGCAGACGTTCCCGAGCGTGCGGGCGCGAGGCCTGTGGCATTGGGAACCTCATGGTCCCAACCAAGAGCCGCCCGGCTGAATTGTCTTTCAAGCGAACGCTGCGTTGCCCTTGTGCTCTCAGGCTTGCTGGGCGCCATTGCCCTGGCACCTCCAGTGTCAAAGTGGAAGGGCCCAGTTCAAAAGCGAGTGATGCCGTTTCTGGCCATTGGTCCCTCTCAACGACACCCATCTAAGTCTGAGGCACGCTGCAAAGGACAAGGCTCATTCAACAGTCGATGCACCTGGCACTTCACGCTTGATATGTGACACATACGGAATGTCGGAAGCCGATGGCCCAAAGCCACGATACAACCACAAACAGAACCCTCGACCAAGCCTGATCATGCCGAATCATGCCCGCCCTGACCCCGCGCAGCAGCGCAGATGCAACAGAGTGTCGGGCAAGCCATGAGCCAGCCTTTGGGCCCACAAGTTGCCAGGCATGAGGTACCTCTCGCTTGCAGAGTAACTTGTTTCTCAATGCTCTGCTTGAGCTTTGGTACAGGTACACTGCCAAGAGGACTTGCAGAAGGCTTGTATTGTGGCGACGTAATGACTTGAATGTCATTACTATGCTGCTACTCCCCCTTCTGTTCCTGAACGACTGCCAGCAAGCCTTTTGCTTGCCGCAGAGTCGTGAGGTCGCTGCAAAAGCTCCCAAAGCCGTGGTGTTCATCTCTAAGTGCTTGCAACTGCTTGTCATTGGCGTGTTTCGATGGTTGAGGAATTTCTGTGCCCATGACATGCGGCAGCAAGGTTGATCCCTGAACTGGCTGATGAAGCGCCAGCCTCGGCCACAAATGAGGAGCAAATGCCGCGGATGCCAGCTCAGGAAAGCCCTGAAGGCTGGCAGGTCCTGGGCGATACTCCGCACAGGCCATAACCATGGTAGTACGTGGTAGTGTGGACGAGGGTGCTCAGTGCTCAGCTTCAACCGTCACTCCCCTCTCAGGGTGGAGGCTTCTGTACGTGAAATGCTCGAAAAGGCAAGGCCATTCTGGAACAAGTACAGAGGCATTGGTATTTAGTAGTGGCTTGACTTAGTAGTGCTTTTCCACAGGCCTTGCACGATCTACGGCATGAGATCCCTGAGCAGTACCGGGATGCGTGAGAAGCTGAGAGGCCAAGACGGACTGTGACTGATGGCTGATGGGAGGAGCTTCCGGAGGTGAAAGCGCAGTGCGAGAAGCTGGAAGATTTATTGAGCACCCTGGCAGCAGCCATCTCCTTGCAGGCTCATGCGTTCATGATACTTGTGCAGGCTGCCGCAACCCATTCAGCATGGAAATACACGAGCCACCCAAAGCCTCCAACAAGGCACGCCCAGCAGTGCCGTCAGTTCATGGCAGCCACAACTTGCGACACTGACAGCACAGGAGGGGCCTGTCTTGGCTGAGCCGGCTGTGCCGACCTGGGTGGAGGCCTTCTTGGAGGCTCAGTGAATCAGGGCGACTTGCGCAGCAGAGCTTCGACAGCAGCGTCTCCGCTCAGGGAAGTGACCCCCGAGATCATGCTGCATCAACGTGGAAAGATCCGCCTGAGGCAAGTGTGGATGCAGACTTCTTCCATCCTGCCCCACTGCCTGCTTTGAGAAAGTTCAGCAGGCTCCTCCCTTGGAAAAGACCATGGAACTCGGCACTGCCTCATCGCTGACGCGGTGCGTGCGCCACACGTATGCATTAGAGGCTTGCGCAGCAAAATCTGTGGCCAACAGCAGGTCATTGCTCCGGGCAACGGCTGCACACCCATTCAGGAGTCGTCCCACAGTTGCAGCAAGGAGAAGAGGAAGAACGTGAAACAAGCAAAGCAGAGCTCAGGAATTGGTATGCCTGGCTGGCCGAGAACCTGCGGCACCAGGACCTGTTTCAGGAGGATCGGCCATGAGCTCATGAGCTCCTGCTCCGCGCTGCAACGCCTCGCTTCCGGAACCTTCCGTTCCTGGCAGGTACTTCTCCGCGACTTCCCAGACCCATATGAAGCAAAGCGAGAGGTCTGGCTGAAATTTCTCAAAGAGGCGCCACGACTGACGACAACCACTTGGCACTTGCCTGGCAAGCAGAATGCACCATGCATGTTGCAGGACCTTGCCGTTGGACCCGACACGGCGCCTCTCTGCACAGACGCAAGAGAGGAAGAGAGTGGAATGTTATGCAAACTCAGGTGCTCGTTGGCCACTCCAGCGGCGCAGAAGCGGCCTGCAACTTCATCTTAGCAGTCTTAGCAGTCTAGCATCTTCATCAGCATTCACCTGCCCAAGCAAAGCACACAGGCCATGCGCTTGGCAGAGCAGGAGGCCATTTCTGGCTGCAAGATACACGGGGTGCACAGGGAATTTATGGGAAATCTTAGGATGAGCAGAGTCTTCTTTTCAAGCATTCCTCAATGATCGAAGTCAACAGCAATGACTGCATGTTGCAAAAGGTCGTTGGTGGCCTCGTTCTTGTGGCGGCCTGTCACAGTTCCTGGCCTGCAAAGATGTGCTAAAAAGCCACAGAAGCTTTGTTGTCACTGCGACAAGGTGACTTGGGAGATCCCGGCGAACGCGCTTCTGGTTACTATCCTCCACAGGGAGGGCCATGGAATTGGGAGCCTCGGCCAAGAGATTGTTGTCCAGGCGTTCAGGGACTAGATTTGGGCCCAGGCGGCCATCCGGAAGAACACCGGCTGGATAGCAACTTGGCCCAAAAGAGTTAAGATCGCCACGGATCAACAAGGGGTTCGTGGGGCAACGGAGAGGGGGTGAAGCTGAGAAGGCAACTCGCACGAGCATGGGATTGCCATGGCAAGCGTGCCTTTATTTTCTATTGTAGGGCGGGGCAGGAGCCAAAATGGTAAGATCAACTTGATTCTCAATTCCTTGGCAAGCTGTTCTGCAGTGAGGTCCAGCTGCACTCCCGTGACGATCCTCTAGTTCCTGTTTCCGAGGGCAGGGCAGTTGCTCAGGCGGCAGTCCTTGCTGTTTGGACGTTGCTGCCAAGTTGTGATTGCATCTCTTGGACATTGGATAGGAGCTGAACAGCGGGAGCCCAAGTGATGCAGCCGATATTAGAGCAAAGGGTATGGGTGCATTAGTGCATTCTATGATTGTGAGGCGAATATAGGGAGATGGACGACCAGTCTCATTTCTTTGAGCCCTGTGAGGATCTCTTGAAGGTTCGTCCGGAAATCTAATCTTGAGTTGACAGCCTGCAAGCTGCGTCAGGTCATATGTGCCAAGTTGGCATAAGGACATTGGATCAGAATCCACTCAAGCGCATGAAGCTGAAACCGCTGGGCTTCACCACGTCCATAAGTTCCTGAGAAGCGGGAATCCAAATTGGACAGCCTGGGCAGTAGCACCTCGCCAGCCAGTATTTTTGGATTTGATGCCATGGGGTCGTCCAATGAAGCTTGCATTGCCCGTGCTGCTCGGTGTCAGGCGCGGAAAATGGAAAAGCACCAAAATGGGGTGAGCGCCAGCGTGAATGCCATTTGGATTGCGGCTAGAGATGCAAAAATGTTCTTTGACCAGACATGTTTCTGCTTGCTCCTGTCACTGAATTAGAGGGATTCCAAGATAGCTAGGCGAGGGGATATATAATGCGTTAATATGAGATACTCAGTATTTTTCAAAAAAGGTGTCAGCTTATGTCCGCAATGAAAAACACGACATTGTATGGTCTTGGCAAGCTACTCAATAATTTCCATTGAGCGATCATTTCCCAATCATACATGAGGAGGGATTCTCTGAACCATGGAGCCACATCAAAATTTTTTCCTTAAGAGTACCCTGCGAAGAATAAAGTATTTTAGGACGGACGTATTTAACGTTTGGCCGGAGGGGGCCGCGTTTCATCATTAGGGGAAGCATGTATCACAGCCTCTGCAAACCTTGAAAAGATTAATGTTAACAGGGGAAGGGATAAGTATGGATAAGTTGTCCTGGGGACAGCAGGGGATTATTTCTTGATTTCATCAAGGGGCTACTCTGATCTTTTGCGGAAACTTTATCACACCAGGAAAGCATAAATGCCAGTTTGGCACCTGAAATCCCAAGCCTGTCCGGTGAAGGGTTGAAGTGGGTGCTTCCTGGCATGCCAGGCGAAGACTGCAGCAGCCCGGGGCTCAGAGCTGTCAACACCTGCATGCAGCACAGCGCTTTGAGCACAGGATGCCAAGCCAGAGGCCAAGAGCACCAAGGAGGAGC